TAGGCCAAGTTTGAAAAAAAATATTTGAAAATCGCGCCTCAGACAGAGTTTTGTGAAGAGTTTTGTAAATATTGTAAAAATGTGATTTGAGTGTGGTATTCAAACATCATGTTGAAATGTGGGGTAGAAATATAGTTTGGAAATCATTACAAACAGAGTATATAAGTGTTAAAATTTGAACTAAATATGAATCAGAAAATCAAAACTTTCTAACACAACGGATGCATCAAATGTGCTGATATAAATTAGAATTAACAATACAAATTCAAGTGGATTATCACAATAAAATTTTTGAGTTCCGATATGGAGCCCGAAAATAGCTCCCCCGAATGCCCCGAAAATGAAAAAGATGAGAAGAAGAAGAAGGAGGAAGAAGAGAAGGAAGAAGAGGAAGGACTGGAGGGGGCCATATCAACCGGGCGAAGGCAGAGGCGGAGGCGGAGGCGGGGCCGGAGGCGACGGCGGTGGGCTGCGACGATCGTGGTGCTGCGACGATCGACGATCGACGGCGGCGAGGCACAGAAGGGGGCCCTTCTCTCCTCTCCTCCTCTTCTCTTTCTCTCTTCTCTTTCTCTCCCTCTCCCTCTTCTCTCTTTCTCTCCCTCTTCCTCTCTGCGACGAAAATGGAAAATAGAAAAACGACTGGAAAAATGGCAGAAAAAAAGGAAAAAAAAAACAACTAATGCCCAAAACGACGCTGTTTTGGGCATTAGGGGCATTCGGTGCAAAAAGTTTCGAGGCACAAATCATTTTTCAAACTTTTTTTTGATTTTTTTTTTTAAATAGAAACTTGTTTGGCAAAAATAAACACAAAAAATATATTTTTGAATTTTTAAAAATAATTTTTTTTTTATTTTCTTTATGAAACTAATTTTTAGTTTCAAAAAAAATCTAAAACAATATTTTAAATACCAAACCCAACATGGCCTAAATACTTGTAGAAATTATCTTTTTATTAGCTAATCGAAATGAGAGGTAGTCCAAGAGTTTTGTATAGTCCCATATATGGGAGACTAACAGTCCAATCAGACTATTAGCTCAGCTTACAATTTTTCAATCAAACAACGGACTAGATGAGATATTGGAAGTCCCATCCTACCCTTTAATCCCTCTAAATAAGGATTTTAGTGTTTGTTTGATTATAGTATTAGAGCATATGATTGGATTGTTAATCCAGTGATACACACATTCTTACATTTGGATGGCACAAATGGTGATTGGGTTAGAAATACGTAGGACTTTTAATTTCACAAAATCATGAGATATTCCAATACCATATATAGGTAAGTATTAATAATCCCATACATATTTATCCTACTAATTGAGTTGGACAGTCAATCCAATGGTTAATTCCATGGATTATTAATCCTACCACCATTACTCTACAAAATCAAACAGGTCCTTAGTTTCTCTCCAGTTCGATGAAGGAATTAGATTGTATTGTTCGAGCATGTGGAACCCACCATAGGCCCTACCTCAATGATTAAATCTGTTTGCTTTTTAGACTATAGTGTGTAGAACATTTATAAAAAAATTTAAGGTCTATCTAATAGTCTTACAAAATTGTTAAATTCTTGTAATAAAAAAAAATCATTTATTTAATATTCATTCCATCCTCCATCTTTTGTCTTATGTGGCCCTTTATGAGTGTTCGCGGATCAGATTGGGTCGAATAGTCTCCCATTCGTCATCCGTCCAAACTTAAGCAGATTAAAAAAATCAGTTCACATCCATCTGCTTAATTACCCAATGCAAATTAAGCGAGCAATATGGATTGCCGAGCGAATGTGAATCGTCTTAGCGATTAGACTTTACTATTTTGGGCCTTATTTTAAATCTAATTTTCAGTCATTCTTTATTATTTTGGGCTCAAAATTTTTAATTCTTCATTTTTTTTTATAATAAAAATAAAAGCCCAACTTTCATATTTCATAAATAACTAATATAATTAATAAATAAAAGCTTATTAGTTTAACACACAATACATAAAAAGCATAATATCATTTTCTAGGAGTGTTGGCGGATAGACTGGCTTCCTATCTGTCATCCATCCAAACTTAGATGGATTAAAAAAATGCATCACATCCGTCTACTTGGATCATTGAAATCATCCATTATGTGATAGTTAGTTTGGGCCATTTGATTTTGATGAGTCAAATAAATGCTTGTCCAATCCTAGTGGCCCGACCCACTACCTGTTTTTAAATTTTTTAAATTGTTAAAATCACAAAAATGGCACATATACTTTTTTCTTGGAAATGAAAATAAATGTTATAACCTTTTTTAAAAAAAAAAAATACATACTAAGGAGTGGTTTAGTCAATTTTAAAATTTTTCTTAAACGTATTTATGTTTATTTTTTTTTATAAGAAAACAAAAAATATGTTTAGTAGGCATATGTATTTTTAAATTTTGTTTTAAAAATTTTGTTTTAAAAATAGATGAGAGGGGTGGGTTGGAGATAGTTCTTAGCCATGGGAGGCATGAGACGGCCAAACATTTTTTGGGCCTTTAGGCGAAATTTGAAAGTTGGCCTTTATATATTTATATATTAATTTATTTAACATATTTTTTTGGTATATCATTTATTGTAATTAAGATGAGATTTGTTGTGTTTACTTTTGAAGGGCCATTGAACAATTAATTTTGTTTCGTTAGGCCTTTCAATAAACATTTTATTTATTTATTTATCAATCTTTGAATAAGAAGTGTTTTGTTCAAACCTTTATTATTAACGAGTTTTATTTGAGGATATATAATCAAAATATTATACTTGGCATTTTACATCTTAAGTGATATGGGGGTTTCTAATATTTTATCAAAAAATTAGGGTCCAGAATTTGGGAATCAGAATTTACTCAGAAATGGGTGCGTGTGGTAGAAATTGAATTAATGAAGTGTGAGATCCACAAATGAAATGAATCTGAGCCATTGATGTGAAATTTTGGATAATTTATACATTTTTATGTCTGGATCCGCAGTATTACTAATATTTTATAGATGGACTATACATATGTACATGTCTTTTTGTTGTATGAATATACATAAAAGGTAAAATAAAGTGGTGTATCTATATGATAATAACTAATATTTCTCTTTTTATTTAAGTGGGCCTTGGGATAATTTTATTTTTTAAATAGAAATGCTATTTTATACCAACTTTATTTTACCATTTTAATTTGCTTTCTATGTGTATTAATGTAATAGAAATCATGTGTATGTGTATGATTTATTATATTTAACAAATAGTGAAACTTATTGTGCTATATAAGAAAGAACATAAAAAAGTGGATAATTGTTAAAATTTTAGGTGATATATGGCAGAATTTTTATTTTTACTTTTAAATAGATATTTGGATAAGGTCTTTCTTTTTGGATAAGGCCTTAGGCAAGTACCTTTCTCATCTAAGGCATGGGCCAACCTTGATGGAAGGTGGTGTGGTTAGAAGAGATTGCTTGCGACGATGGTTGCAGTTAGGAATGGCCGAATGTGGTGATCATGAGCAGTGGGGTGGAAAGAGATAAATGAATGAAAATTTATTTTTAAAACAATTGATTTTTTTTGTTACAAGAATTTAATAAATTTTATAAAATATTTATAATATTTTTAAAAAGAAATTAAATACCAAATGAGTTTTTGTTTATAATTTTAAAATTTTAAAATTTTTTGTAATTTTTTTTTTTAAAAAATAAACAAATTATCAAATAGCTCCTAAAAAAAGTTTTCTTTATATTTCTTAAATTTTTTGTAAGAATACATAAAAAAACATAACATGAACGTTTATAATCTCTACATCAAAAGCTCTGAAGTAGTTAGTTGACTCGTGCGATAGATTTTTTACTGCAGTTATGAATTAAAGTTGTTTGTATAGGGTGCTTTGGCAAGGAGGTAAATAGTCAGCTTTTGGCTTTTTATTCATTTTGAGTCATGTCACCTCTCATATTTTTTATCTATTAAAAGGCAAAAGAGATTAAAAAAAATCAAAAAGTCAACTTTTTACCAACTTCTCAAAATACCACATAATTTTACATTTTTTCCCAACCATGTTGGTCAAAGCATATGTTCATTTCAAGAATCCTTCAAGGTCTCCCTATTGCTCTGTCAATTCAATGTGCAATAGTTTATAGAAGGGCAAATTATATCTATAATTTTTGTAGTTTGTTTATTGTGTTAATTTAGTTATTTTAGTTCTATTTGTATCAAGAGAAGTGATTGAGACCCCTCTAATCACCACCTCACATACAGGTGGGGCTGGTGATTGGAGGAGAAGAAAAAAAAAAAAAATGAAAACTGGCTAATCACAGCCAGAGGGGGTCGTGGGGGTGCCTTCCTTGGAGGTCCAAATCATTTTTGTTGTATCAATTTGTATACTTATTTTTTTTTTTATTTATGTTGTGTCAATTTAATGTAATTAATAATATCCCTTTAAAATTTAGATTGAAATTAAGAGCAAAATAATTTATTTACTCTCTTCAAAGTGATTGAGAGATTGACGTCTAATTTGAAATGGTCCGTTTCCTGAATAATTTTGCCCTTGATTTGTATCCAATTTTGCTCTTCTGGTGTCCAATTTGAAATATTCATTTTGTTTTGAATGAATAATTTTGCCTTTAATTTTAGTTCAATTTCTAAAGTATCATCATCAATTTTATTAAATTGACATAATGTGAGATGTAATTAAAACTATAAAGACCAAATTGATAAACATTAAAAAAACAAAAAACAAGTTACATGGGCCTTGGGTATAATTAATTTGCCCTTTATAAATTGTTACTTGCGAAAGAAATATAGGCTACCAATAATTGTTAGCAATTAAGCATGGTGGTCTTATCAACAATGCTATATGCTCAACCAAAAAAAAAAAAAAAAAAAATTCCAAAAAGGTATCCAAAAATTTAAATCAATGGGCTACATTTATTGTCACATATATAACTCATATAATACCAACTTTAAATATGCTATATAAACCTCGATTTCACAATAATTATCAAGATACAAATTTTGAACGCATAGCATTTTTCTGGTATTGTATAACATTTTGGAGTAGTTTTAAGTAGTGCTAAACACCAGGGACAACATATCTATTATTATTGAAAAACAAGCCACCTCTATGTCGAGCTCATATGCATATGCATATGTGGGTGGGAGAGTTGTTATAGTACACACATATATGTAAAGACAACATAAGTAGAGTTTTTCAGATTATGATGACATGCCAAACCAAGCTAAACGAACATATAAAAAACTAATTAAACAAGTAGTGACGACTCTTTTTTGCAAAGATCAATATCAGTTATGAACCCAAACTATATGATCCTCAGGAAGGAAATGGCAAATTGGAACAGTCCCTGGCTTGACCTTGAGCACTTGAAAGGCCAAGTGTTTCGGATTCCAACCCGATGTGTCGGTATGGCACACTGCAACTGCTTCTGCCTTCGTTCCATCGAGGCGTACCATTGAAACCGAGTATGCCTTTGTGGTCTGTGTCTTGTGGCAATAAAACACCGTGTACGCGTAGTTTTGCTTATGGCACACTACGGCTGCATCGCTTGCCATCTTCTTCACTCCTTCGATAGTGTATGTTTGCAAAGGGGTTTCTTTTTTGACTTCTGTGGAGATTGCTTGGATACTTTTCCCAAGCCTGGTACTGCAGAAATCGACCATGGACTCTAGTGAAGTCGCGCAATATTTCTCTTCTCCTTTGATTCCAGGCTCTTCGCATTCTTTGATTGTTTGCTTGATTGTCTTGGCTTCCATGGAGTTGGGTTTCACCGAGAAGTAGTCAAGAATTTGTGGAATTTTCTTGGATGAAAAGGGTATTTTCTCAGCAACCTGGCGAGGCAAGAAAGTAGTCGGTGTGGTGGTTTTAGTGAAGTGCAATGTCATTTTTGTGTATTTTTTCAAGTCATTTTCCAAGAAGAAAAGAGCGATGTTGGGATTATCATGGAGTTGATCCGCAGTAGCAGCGTATTTGTAAAGGAATGGACTCGGTCCCTTTGATACTCCGACATAGACGGGCTTTCCTTTTTTTCCGGTGTTCACAGCGACACCTCCTTTCCCGACACCAACACTAGTGCCACCGGGCTTTCCTTGCCCTGCATCGACGCCTACGCCGCCCTTTCCTACCCCGACTGCGGTGCTCTTATCTTCCATCCATTCTGCAAATTAAGAAGATAAAATTAAGTATGAGGTTTGTGATGTTTTCTCTCCTATGTATCTATTTCTCTCATCTCTTTTCTACCTCTTTGTTCTCTCCATGATTTAAATGAAAGGGTTGTTGGCAGTGGTGTGGCCAAAAAATTTATTTAGTAGTGTCATTTAATTAATTATTATCCATGTCATCACATACTTCTTTAGTGAAGAAACAAGTTGTGAGGATTAGAGGATGAGGTCGAGAAGGAGGAGGTAGTGGCTCATATGTTTTTCATCTTTGGTTTTTTTTCTCCTTCGTTCTCTTCTGATTTAGGTGAAAATTGAGATAAAATTAATTTTACCGAATCAACATCCAAATAATGATCCCTTACTTTTTGTTTGAGTAAAAAAGTTAATGGAGAAATCAATGCGTGATAATTAATTCTCTTTTACGCCTAGTTTAGCATATTTAAAAAAATTTAAAAATTCAAAAAGTTACTAAAAAAATTAAAAAGTTATCACTATTCATAAATTAAAAATGTAAAAAAATTAATTTATTACATATTTTAATACAAAGATGTGACTGGTACTGAGAATTGATGGAAAGACTGTCAAAGGGGGGGAAAAAAAAAAGGTATATATATTTATTAAATTTGAGGGTAATGTTGGGCCAGTGGGGCCCACCACAGGTCCTGTTTTGATAATCTGAACCGTTCAATGTGTAGAATCTGTCGAGTATTATATGGCTATAAACAATCATATTAATCGGATATGGATAGCTACATGATTAAATCAGTTTTGTATAAACAATAGATGGTGTTATAGTTAACGGTTGACAAAAAACTAACACGATCAGATAGTTATCGATATCCGATCAACATGATTTTTTATAAATATATAGTACTCGACGAGTTCTACATATTGAACAGTTCCGATTAGCAAAACGGGACCTGTGGTGAGCCCACACAGGCCGAACAACACCGTCCAATTCAAGTCCAAAAAAGGAGGCAACCATTTTCCATCTCCTAACAGTCGACTACACTGCCTAGGTACTGTATGGGCTACTCAATCACTTCTCTTATACACTTATTTATATAATTTTTTAACACATATTTTTTTTTGTAAAAAGTTAAAAAGTTAAAAAGTTAATCCAAATACTCATATTTTTTTCTTCAACTTTTTAATTTAAAAAGATAAAAAGTACACTTATTTACGACATCCCAAATAACCCCTATAATTATATGAATCTCTATTTGTCAATAAGAGAAACAAGAATGACATGTAAACTCGATAAATTCATAAGCAATCCCTCAAAACAAGTTAAGTCAAAGCCTAACCTTAATACTATCAAAATATAATGGCAAAGAGTTAATGATTCAAAAATTAATGAGCTGAGTCTTGCAACCCAATAGCCACTACTAAAGAGTCACTTTTGTATCTTCACCACCAAACTATATCTTTTTTTTTTTTTTACAAACGTAATAAATTAAAAATGTTATGATTATCAGACATTTTATATAGATATTTTATATGAATAAAATATATAAAATATCTGTCAAAATAAACGATTTGAATTATCGAAATGAAATTCAAACAACGCCATGGACTGGAGAGCAACTGCCTCCTTCACAATTACCCTTTGTTTTTATATGGAAGCAAATAGCGTTGAAAGTTACCAAGTTAAAAAAATAAAAGATACAAATAAAAAATAAAATAACAAAGAGGAAAGGAGTCTATAGCCAGGGGTGGCTCAACATTAATTAGGCCGCTTTGCCCTAGTCCAAGGCTTCTCGAGAAAATTTATATATATATATATATATATTATTGAAGTCTTCAATTTTTTTAAAGACTTTAATAAAATAAAATCTCATTTTAACATTGAATCTAAGATCTCAAAAAATCTTAAATCATTACTGCCTAGAGTAGAAGACTAACCAGGGTGTAAAAGATCCTTGACAGCCGTAGGCATAGGAGAGTTTGGCAGAACCGAGTTCCAGTACGCTTCAGGAGATAGAGTTGCATGACTTGCTACCAATGTCAACTGTATTAAAAAAAATAAAAATCTCATTAATTTTGAATATCGAAAAAATTGCATTAACTTACATAAATACTTATTTATTAGGTGAATTATTTTTTGAAGAATGTTTTAATGATTTTTTAATATAAAATAATTGTTTTTAGGAAGCAATAAAAAAAATTATTTTCAAATTTTCATGAATTATTTTTAGGGAATTTTTTTTAAGGTCCATGATATTAAGATTTTGTAATATAAAGGACATACAATATTTTCATAGTAGTTAAGGTCTCTTAATATTTTCACAAAAAAAATTTGACTTAAAGAAATTTCAACCTCGACACAGAAATTTTTTAATTTTCATAGAAAAATTTTAAAATTTCTCTGGTATGATCACTGAAAATTGTTATCGAGAGACCTTAGTTAATAAAAAAAATCTTGGATCTCCAAGTTGGGGAGAGATATTTTACTAATTTTTCTTTATTTTTATACAAAAATGGGAACGATACGAAGGATGAATGTTTTCGAACTTTTCATTATTTTTTGTTTTCAAAATCATAAAACTAAAGTAAAGAAAAGTTAAAACAACATTTGTTGAGGACATAAATACATGGACAAATTATATCCATGGTTTTTGTAATTTGTCTCTTATATCAATTTAGTCCATATAGATTCAATTGTATTAATTTTGCTTTTTAATTTTTCATATTTCTGTTAGTTTAGTTAAATTAATAACATTTAATAAGAAATTGGACAAAAATAAAAGACATAATGGTCCATTTAAAAGAGAATAGGCCATTTCAAATTAGACACAAACTCCTCATTCACTTGAGGAGTGTGAATGGATAATTTTTGTTATTTGATTTTAGTCCAATTTCTAAAAAGTGTTATCAACTAGATTAAATTGATATAATATAAAAAATTCAAAAGTAAAATTAACAAAATTAAAACTGCTAACAAAATTAAAACTACAATAATTAAATTGACACAAAAAATAAACTATAAGAAGTACGAATGTAATTTATCCAAAATAGATATACACATACAAGCACATATATTTATTCAATTATTAAAAGCACACAAAATATAAGACAAACTTCATCCGGCTCTTTCTATTTTTCAAGAATGCTCCTCAAATTGCTAACTGTAAAATTTCATATCTAAGCAACGACAAGTCATTTTGAAAATATTCTAATGCTGTGTGTGGTTACAAAGAGATTTGAAAAGAAAAAAGAAAAAGAAAAAGATAAATAAATTATAAATGAAATATACCTATATTTCATCTCATTTTACACATTTTTTTCTTTCATTTTTCAAATCACTTTCTAAATCTTACAACCAAATACAACGTAAACCATTTTCAAATTCAACCCATCTTTTTTTATTAAACTGCTCAAAATTGCAAAAAATTAAAATTAAAATTAGAGAGAGAGGGGGGGGGGGGGGGGGGTGGGTTGTTACAAAACAAAATCCCAAGAAAATGCTTTATATGTAATGAGGTTTAGGGAGCTGAGAAATTCACAGAAAGAAATGCAAGGATGGGTAGGAAGTGGAACTCCATGGAAAGCTGCAGAACAGAAAACTATGATATGAAAGAGAAAGAAAGCTTATTAGTATAGCTAGCTTACACTTGCAAGTAAGAGAAGTGAGTTTGTGATATTTATAAGTGAGTGTTAGTCTTAGGACTTAAAAGAGTGTGGACATCTCTCTCTCTGGCACCAAAAGCAACATATCATCCATCCATATTTTACGACTGGTTTTATTGCTTTCAACTGCCCCTTGCTAACATGCATTAAATATAATTATGCCAAATGGTACTGTGGGAGGTTACCTGGGGCACATAAGAGAGAGAGAGAGAGAGAGAGAGAGAGAGAGAGAAAAGTGATGCATGGTGCATTACAGGCCAAGCAAAGTAATGACTATGTTCTTAGACTGAAGAAGTGAATCTATGAAAATTTGGTATGTAGCTCTCTTTGGACTTTTTGGCTCAAGTTCCATAACAAACAACCACCAAATTTATTAGGATTTAGCGGGGGGTTGAGAGTAAACATCTTTTATGATTATAGCATTCTGTTTTGGGCATGCCATGCATGATATACTTATTATTATTATTTTAAAAAATGCTATGTACTTATATATATATATATATATATATTTAAGAAAGTGGTTCCAAATTAAATACATGATATAATTTAAATTTAGTATGTTGTGAGTCACACAAATATTCAAATTCTCAACAATTTTTTTAGTTTTTTCTTTCTTTCTGAATTATAGTATTTTTTTAATTCTACTTTTTAGTATGTTGAAGAGCTTGATTTGAGAGAATTAGTCGGGAGTCTTGCATGCTTATGCATGGGAAGATTTACCCTTGACCCTTCTAATGAGATGTAAAGATTCTAATTAACTTAACTAACCCTAATCCATTTGTTCACTAATACTACATATCCAATTTTATTTATAATTATCGACATGTGATTCAGATTCATTTTATACATAATTCCACAATGCACTAATTCAATCACAGTCACATTTAAAAATTTTAGATAATTTTGTCACTTGTTTCAGAATAATTTTTATTGTTATTTGTTTGTATGTTTTAATTTTTGAAGGGTACTACATCATTAGATTGCCTACTTATGAGTCTCATATATTTAACAAAGTCCATGCATTAATTTGCTTACAATATACCAACATTTCGACCCCTATTATAGTAAATAAACAGTGTTGCATTATCTGCAAATATTCAGTGTATTCCGTTGCCAACTATTTAAGAAACAAAACTAATATTCTCATCTATCTCTGAAAGCACAACTAAATATTGGACCTGTTTGGCGTAAGTTTTTACAAAATATAGTCAATGTATTCCAAAAACATCCATTTGTCAGTTTCAAGATAATTATATTTTTCAGATATTTTTATCTAATAAGTTCTAAATGGAAACCACACCAAATAATCTCGCACAAATTAAAAAAAAAATTTATAAACAATCAAATAAAATATACCAAACAAATCCATTATCATTGTTGTAAGCAAGGCATGGGACATCATGGTAGATGGAAGTGGAAATTAAAGTGTGAAGCTTTTGAATGTTGGCCAATTTTGCAAGCAAGGCATGAGAACAGCATGGTAGATGTAACTGGAAATTAAAGTCTGTTTGAGAATCGAGGAGAGAAATATATATATGTATATATAGTTATATATTTATTTAAATTGAAAGAGAGAAAAGAAATTTTTTTTTTTTTTTTTGGTTTGTATTCTTCTCCTTTTTGGTTTGGATAAGTAGGAGTGAAAAGATAGTACTTTCCCATCTTGAGCAAGAGAGCAAATATCGTGGACAGAACTTGCTCTTCAATTTTGTTTGGTGAGACTAGGTAAGAGAAAAGAAGGGTTTATTACACTCACTATAAAAAATTAAGATTTTAAAAATTAAAATTTAGAGATAAAATTATTTTTTTAGTATCAAATATTTTTGTTACGAAAAGTGTTGTTATTATATTTTTAGCAACGAAAATTAGATATTAGTGATGAATTATTATCCTTTTGATACCAAATTTTTTGTCTAAAAAAATAAACCATTTTAAGACCAAATTATTTTGTCCCTAAAAGTCTATTTATTAGTGACATTTTTAAAATTTTATCGCTAAAAGCCTTGTTTTTGATTATTCGAGACTACCTTTTAACTACTATCCTTGTGACGATAAAAATTGGTTTCTAAATGTCATTTGCAACAATTTTTTTACTTTTAGAGACCAAAAACATTTAATCTCTAAAACCCTTATATGTTGTAGTGACTTTTTACCTATGTAATTTGACTTATATTTTATTTTAGTCGTTATAATTTTAATTTGAATGATTGGATCTCTTCACTTTAAGTTTAGTTTCAATTTGATTCTTTCATTTAAATTGGAGGCTAAATTAATAATTTTAGAACACTTGCTAAGATTTTAATTTGGTTCTTCCGTTTAAATTAGTGATTAATATTAACAATTTTAGAACACTTGTCACTTTTTAAAGTGTACATGTAGACAAAATTAACAAAAATTTAGATAAAATGATCAAATTAAAACTAGATTTAAAGTATAAAAATCAAATTATTCAAATTGAAATTATAAAGATTAACGTGAAATTTGAATCAAATTATAAAAGTGAAAAATATAATTAACCCAAAAAAGAAAAGAAAATGACTTCTATTGTCTTACTAAAATAATCTCTCATTATTTCATTTCTTTTCTATGTAGACAAAGTGACTTTAGTGCTAAGAGAAGTCAACAGTAGATGACTTATTTTTCTTCATTTTTAGAGAGGTTCAATAAGTGAGTTTTAAGAGTAACGTATTTTTGTATATATATTTTTTCTATTTCATTTAATTTCTTATCTTTTAAATAATTCAAATAAGTGATTAACGTCCAAAAATTTGTATTTATTTTCTTTTCTTTTATTTTTCCTCTAAATCACCCAATCTAAACGGACTAGTATGAATGTTTTGTAAGAAATTTTGAAAAAGTTATTTCAAATATTATGCACATGGAGCGGCGATCGAAACATACTATAACATATAAGAGTTTTAGAGATCAAATATTTTGGTTTTTAAAAGTGAAAATTTTGTTGCAAAAAAATTTAGAAATTAATTTTCATCGTTATAAGGATAATCGTTAAAAGGTTGTCCCGAAAAGCCAAAAATAAATTTTTTAGTGACAAAAATTTGAAAATGTCACTAATAAATAGACTTTTAAGGATAAAATAATTCAATTTCAAAATAGTTTATTTTTTGAGACAAAAAATTTGGTCCTAAAAGGATAATAATTCATCACTAATATCTAATTTCTGTTACTAAAAATATAATAACGATAATTTTTATAACAAAAATATGTGATTCTCAAAAAATAATTTTATTTTAAAATTTTGATTGTTAAAATCTTAATTTTTGTAGTAACAATAATTATATCTCAAAAAATTTGTCTACTCTTAAAAAAAAGGTTAAAATTGAGTTGCTAATAGAGTCAGGTGTATCCAATCATGAGATTGAATGTGGGTTACTTTCCATAATAATTAATGTAAAATCACTAATATTGGTGATGCATATTATATGTATATTTACTAAGTTAGATAGTAAAGTTGGGCCTGTGGGGTCTACTATGAGTCTCGTTTTGATAATCCGAACCGTTGAAGATGTAGAACTCGTCTAGTACTATATGCCCATAAAAAATCACGTCTATCGGATATTACTAACTACATGATCAAATTTGCTTTGTATAAAAATTAGATGATATTGTAATTAACAGTTGACAAAAGAAACTAACACGAGCAGATAGCTATCGATATCTAATTAACGTGATTTTTTACAAATATATAGTATTCGACAAGTTCTATACATTGAACGGTTTCGATTAGAGAAACGGGACCTGTGGTGGGCTCTCGCGGGTCGAACAATACCGTCCAATCAAAGCCCGAAAAGGAGGCAATCTTTTCTCATGTATTCACGAAGCCATTGCACTGCCAATCCGTACGGCGTACTACACTATCTTCTCTTATACACTTTTTTATATAATTTTTAATATACATTTTTTCATAAAAAGTCAAAATTAACCCAAATATCAATATTTTTTTCCTTAATTTTTTAGTTTAAAAAGACAAAAAGTACACTTATTTAAGATACTCTAAATAACCCTTAAAAATAACATTAAAAAAATTCATCAACCCAACTACTCTACTCTTTAGGCAAATCCCACCCACACAATCGTACCTACAATCCCACCATTTTGAATGGCAATTTTAATGAGAAAAAATATTGTACATAAATGAATTTCTTATTTTATTTTATTATTACCTAGCGTAAAGTCATGAGTCCTAGTTATATTTATTAACAACAATATTATATTTTTTAATTTATCACTCCTAAATGATATTTAATGATGTGACATTGAGATTAGACGCTACATGGTAAAATGTTTGACAAATAAAAATTTGACACTTGTTAGACACATCATTAGAGGTGATTTTTAAGAGTGATAAATTAAATATTTCAAACAATTTTCGTTTACAAATATAGAACTCACTATTAAAAAAGAAAAATGTGTGTGAAGTATAATTATATTTTATTCATATTTTATTTATTTTTAAATTTTTTTTAGCCAAATTCATAATTCAAACACACCATAAGGTTGTGTTTGGTTAATAAATTTAGAAAAAGAAAAGGTTTTCCAAAAGGTCAGGCTTCTCTCTAATTCGAGATCGGACTGAGGTGTGCTATTGGGCCCGTAGGAGCCCACCACAGGTTCTATCTCGATAATTCAAGCCGTTTAATGTGTAGAACTCGTCAAATAATTTATTTCTACAAAAAATCACGTTGATAAAATATCGATAGCTATTTGATCAGATCAGATTTCTATCAATGGTAAATATAATTTTCAAAATAAATTATTGACAAAAATATTATCCAATCAAGTAGCTATCGATATCCGATCAACGTGATTTTTATTAAAGATAAAGTACTCGATAAGTTCTACACATTGAACTGTTCAGATTATCGAAACAGAACTCGTAGTGGGCCTCACGGGTCCAACAGTACCGTCTAATTTACAAAGTGAGCTAGAGACAAACCTGATCCTTTCCAAACTCTCAAAGGCTTTGCTTGTTTTGGCAACTAAAAACCATTTTAAAATTTTTTTTTT